AGAGGTATATACTAGGCAAAATAACTGTTCAATGCTGGTTGGTTTACGATAATTGATAAATAATGAATGGCTTTAAGGGGTTGTGGAGATTGTTGAGTTACTTACTCATTAGAAACCTGGAAGCACTAAAAGACGGCCGTTTCGTCCTAGCTAAGAATGGCAGATCAATAGCTGAAGTGGTGAAACTTCATCAGTTGAGATGGTTGGGACATGTGTTGAGTATGCCTAACGACAGACTGCCTCGAGGAGCTTTGTTTTGTAGTGTAGGAATAGGTTGGAAGAAAGTTAGGGGCGGCCAAACCAAAACATGGCAGAAATGCATGAAGTCATTGACAAGTGGACTGAGTCATGTCGGTAGTTCTTGACTACCTGGTTTGGGTCCACGAGACGAAAATAATCGATGGTTAGATACCCTGAATGACATGGCTCAAAACCGTTTGCAATGGCGCCGGTGCATTTATTCTTTGTGTTCTCTCAAATCCTAATCTTCTGGATTCTTCAGCAACTCTGCTTTTGACTTTCTAAACTTTTCTCACTGAATCATACTTCTTGAATAATATCTTCTAATCCTAACCTCTCTGATTACTTCTAATACCTTTGCTACCTCTTCTACTATTGGATGTGAATTGACAATTATATCTCTGTGCTGATGTGGTATGGCGACATGAACTGATGTACTTACGTACGAAGTTCTACGTTGCATCTGAATGACTTTTGTCCTAGCATGGAACTCATCAGCAGTGCGCATCCACGACTCCTGAACCTCGCGGGATTTGAACCCAGGACCTACGATCTTGCGCGCAAACACTGTTAGTTTATAACGAACTGCCATAACTAACCAATCACATTGTGGTTTAAGCGCTCACCACGTTATCTAGTCTGACCGGTCTGTAAACCTTCATTGTTGTAAATGACCTATTGATTCAAGTACATTATTATTTTATTATATTGATGTGACTCATGTTTTTATTCATTTTCGAAAGACACATCATACTGGTCGGTACGTTTGCTCATCTTACTTGATAATTGTAATTTCCTTATTTATTGTACTAATTTAATCGTTTTTTTTGTTTAGAAACAGATAAAGTTTAAAACCAAGTTGTTCTTCATTTTTACTATAGCTTTACCACAGACTCTGTGCTCGCCAGTATTGCGTTTACTGTTCTAGAATTACATCTGTAGGACAAATTAAATCCTACAAACACCTAACCTATGGACCACCGGTCTAACGGTGTTAATGTCTAATTTCGATCGATTCAATTGATGGCAAAACCAAGATCTAACCTTGTCATTCTTCTTTGTTAACAAATTAAGCTTTCATTTAACTACAAAATAGTATTAATCGCAAAATATAAGTAAAGTACAGAGGGTATTTCATCATTTAACTGCTCCTTGTTGTAGAGTTGATGATATTTGCGCGGAAGGTAGTTAATTTCACGTAATTATTGAAATGGGAAAATCTTTCCATTCATCTCATGAATCACTGAAATTCAGATCACAGTCGACATCCGCCTCAGTTAGGATACCCCAATAACTGTTTAAAAATATCTTTAGTAGCCAGAACATAGTATAGGTCCTTAGTGTCTCATTTACTTTTTTTACTGAGGATTTCATATTCTACTTAACATATAATGTTGAATAAAGTAGAGACTACTTTTATTATTCCGTCCAATCAGCTTCCATTGGAAACTCCATTAAAACTCAGAGAAATATGATGGGTTGTGTAGTAGTACTCTCTTATTGCATGATCATTTACTCTGTTAACAAATTTAGTATGCCTTCAAAAGTTTCGAGAGGTCAAAGGTTACTAATCAATCGATAAATACTTTCATGTATATGAAATAACCATGAAGTAAAGTCTCAGTTCGCATTTTACGCCTTTTTTTCTATCTGTCAGGACTCAAGTAATTGGAGGAGCCATAAAGATATAGAATGCACTTATGAAATTATTTTCAAGCGTCCGAGTAACAGATTTGTCAAATGACAAAAATGAAACTAAAATGGAAACTTCTTTTGCACAGTTAGAAACTTACCTTGAATGTCAGGAGAGAGAGACCATTAACAACCTCAGATAATAATCATAGAAACCCTCATACAGAAAATGTACTTATCTTTGCATTGAATGAGCTGTAAGTCATACACAGCGACTCAGTGATCAACAATGTCCATAAATCTCATTTTAATGGTATAACCAGTGTTAATTTCGACTACTGGTTTAAAATATACTAAAACCTGTTTCATATTGATCTCTGCAAACTAAATGACTCCACAAAAGTTAAAATAAACCTTACAGAAATTTGGGCACAGAAAACATGGAGTCTATAGTAATTTTGTCATCTGAAAGAATACACATAACTGCAGTTTTAATGAGACTTACATCTCAGTGTGGATGTTTTCCAGCATTGAAACCTAGTACTTGTTGTCATTATTCTCAACGCATTATCCACTTATCTATTGAGCCCCACAGTAATCATCAACTTGTGGATCCCGATACATTCAACTGACGAGTCCCAAACAGAGAAAAACATTCTGGTTGTATCATGTATCAAAACAAACGTGCAA